GTATAGACCACTCCTGCAAAGTGTTGGTAAATAAAATCTATTCTTGACTAAAATCTATTCTTATCAACTGTATTGTCAACCTTACTTGAGAGCATTTTTCAAAACTGGAAACTGCTCTTGCACGTTCCAGTGCCCTGCACTCCTTTTGCTGCTGCTTCTCAGTGCAACTTGAACTCTAGTTTTGCGTGCCCAACTAGAAATGCTTCAGAAAGACAACCCAAAGGCTCTCCCCTTTATAGGGCTGTACTTGCTCTTCAGTGTCACTATGCTAGGAACGGTAACCATTGAACTGAGCAGTCAGGAGCACAGAAGGTAGACTTTAATACATGTCACCTCTAGGTCATGTACAGTAGTCCTTCAGAAGGAGTCCTTCTAATTGAAGTTAATGAGAGTGGAAAAAGGTTTGAGGTTTTGATGGAACAAGGTCGTTTTAAAGAGACACATGCGATTTGGCTTTTTAAAAAATTGCACGTAATGAGTGAATCAATTGAGAGGCAATTGACATAAACACATGCTCATTCTTAAAAATCGTGTTTCATTTCATTAGGCTGCACTTATACAATCTGTAAGCCATGGTGCTCAACTACTGGTTTTCCAGACTCAACAGGAATGAACGAATTGGAACTGGTCTGCATTAAAAACAATGTGCAGAGAGCTACCAAATAAATGAATAAATAATGAAATAAATAAAATCCCACCTGACATTATTCTACGCACTAGACAGAATTTTTCTTTCACCTCTCAAGTGTAAACAAAGTAAAATTAATCTTTGAATATTCTCTTGTGCAAAAATAACCTCAAGTAAGAATTCATTAAGTGCTGTGCTTTAATTTTCACACAACTCAAGATAGGAGCTATCTCAGGCCAAAAGTGTATCTACCTGTTTGAAATATTTTTCTTTGGGAGTTAAAGTCAGACAGAATGAATGTGAATGAACTAACAAGAATGTTTCCTGTTCTAAGAAAGGTTGCTTTACAAAAGCATTGCTGTTTTGATTTGTTAAATTTCATGCTAAGCTACATTTCTTCAGTTAGGTGGCTAGCTTCCTAACAATAATTCACACGAATAAACCCTTCTTTTTAACAGATTTACATTTAACATTAATCATAATGTACAGTATTTGATGTTCCTTGCCCGCAAAACAAGCTAGTGTTTTGGTTAGCTTAATCTTAATACCAAGCATTTTGAATAAAACATTGATCCTGTTGACATTTTAGCACACTTATCAATATCTAATTTACTTTCACATTTCCATTACCTCATAAATATTTTAATAAAAAAAAGGATCCCCAGGCCAACTTACTTTGACACTTTTCATCGTCTGAAACAAATCCTCCCACTTTTTTTTAGAAAATCAAGCAGACCATGCTTCACACACAGTTGGGTAACTCTTGACAAAGCACCCAATTAAATCCTACTTAATTCACCCACTCTGTGAAAATCCCTCCTCATTGGTATGTGGAAGACTGTTGATCATATGATATATGTAACTTCCTCAGAGCCTGGGCAGAAAGGAGATTTGGATCAGCCTTCCCCAATTCTGATTATAGCAAATCCAGGTTTTGCTATAAAAACACCTATCACGTATAAGCAAAGGGAAGCAGATATGCAGAGTCATGGAAATGGCAAAGAAAGAAAGAAGCAAATCACAGCATAAGCCACATCAATCTAGTTTAATGTTTACATGTAGAAGTTACACATAACAGACACTAAACAGGAATTTCAGATGTTAACAGAGCTGCAATAAAATTAATGCTGCTATATATTAAAAAAATAATTTCAATACAGTCATCTGGTTGTGGTATTTTTGGTCTACACAAGTTCTTTGAAATTGATTTCCACCAGTAATTAAGACTGAAATTTTCCCTATTACCCCATCCTACTCTCCAAGTTTCTAGTCTTTGGATGAAAGAAACAGCAACTTTACATTTGTTGATAGTACGCCCTTTGGTCAGAAGCAAAAAACTTTTCAAAATCCTCTCTCAAAGTAATATGCCACAGGGCTTAAAATTATGGGGTAACATCCCCCCTCTTGGTATTACAAAAATGTTTGTGACAACTAAAGATTTAATAAACGCTGATTATATCTCAGCACTGTACCCAGATTGAAAAAAAGGAGCCATCTTGGGTAAGAAACAGTTCTTACATCTCGATACCTTCTCGCATACACTGTAATATAAACCCCAGTGCCCAACAGACAAAATGTAAGTCTCAAAACTGTATGACACAAACACCTTTTAATTGGATTGAAGAAAAGCACATCTGTATGGATTCAGAACACATTTTATTGGTGGTTAGACAGCTCATGCATTCATGCAGGACCAAGCTACCTACAGCTATAGCTTCAGAGTCTACAGGGATGGGGGTGGGGGGTGGGCAACATCCAATATATTGTCATTGTCAGCAGTTCTGCACTTGAGCCAGAAATATTGTTTTCCTAAAGAAATGTTCCCACATATTTAAAAAAAAAACATACACATCTTGATAATATTTACAAAAAATATTTAATTAAAAATATTTCATAATTACAGTTGGTCTATTAAAGCATATACTTTTCTCACTTACACTTATAGAGCCTCTCTCTATATACATAGTATGAAATGTCACTCATTTTAATCTATACAATATGTAACATTCCTGTAGGGAGAAGAAAATCCCCAAGGAAACAATAAAATCATCTATTTTAAACAATAGATGTCAAAACAAAAGTTATCTACAATTCCTCTGGTAGATTAGTAAAGCTTCAGATTTTGACTGCTCAACGCATTAAAGTTATATTTCTAAACTCCAGTTTTTGCCCTTGATCTTCAATCCAACAGAAAACCACACAATACTGAAGATTTAAATCCCCTCCCTCCCAAACATGTACATAATTCACATCTGATCTAAAAAAAAAAAAAAGAGAGAGAGTTAAGAGTCATGTGAAAAATGCTGTGAACATACAAAGCTGTGAAAAATTCTTTTTCTCTTTCTCTCTCTCTCTTTCTAAAGGAAGTATGGATAGAATTCTGGAGTAGTTGAGTTTTTTTTTCCTTTAGCCTAGTGGCTGATTTTTTTTCCTCTCTCTCTGTGTTCCCCCTCCCTCTCTAATGTGTCTTTCTGCTTCTGTGGCTCAGGATCTGCTTGCTGCACACCTGTGGAAGAGGAATGAATAGAGGAGGGGGTGTGAACCATTCTGCTCCAGACTGACTGGCGCCACGAACAAAACAGAAGACATGCTTGATCAACAACCCAAAACAAACCAGGTCAAACAACAAGGGCAGCTCCCAGGCTAGGCCAAGCAGAGGAATACACAGCTGCAAGTCCGAGCGAGAAGAAGCTTGTGTGAACCATTCTGCTCCAGACTGACTGGCGCCACGAACAAAACAGAAGACATGCTTGATCAACAACCCAAAACAAACCAGGTCAAACAACAAGGGCAGCTCCCAGGCTAGGCCAAGCAGAGGAATACACAGCTGCAAGTCCGAGCGAGAAGAAGCTTGCCAGGGAGTAGAAGAGAGGGAAGGAGTTAGGGAACGTGCCCTTCGAGTCACTCCTCCATTTCTGTTTGCACAGATCAAGCACACGGGCAGGAAAAGCCCCTATGCACATTTACTTGGAAGTAAGTTGCATGGAGTTAAAGAGGATTTACATCCAAGTAAACGGGCAGCCATCCACAGCCTATGTGCCAAAGAAAAATACATGCAAGACAATCAACAGCATTTCCATAATGCATTATTCATGACTTTTATAGAAAGGGAAGGAAGGGAATTCCTAAAGAATGTTCGAAAGAGGCAGCCCGAGCTATGCATCAGTCAAAAGACCTTGCAGTCAGACTAAATGCAGCTTTCTTTTTTTAAGCATGAAGAAAGCAGTTTATTTTTCTTATGTTTTGTCCATCATATGCCCTTTAGAACATACTGAAAGTCTTGACTGATTAACAGACACTAACCGTTTTGCATACATCTCTTTAGAATAAGTGTATGTTATTCAGAACAATGTAGTCTGACCCTACCCTCTTAAAATATGTGCCCAGAATTAAAAAGAAAATATAATGAAAAAATGCTTCCCGCTCTGAGCCACAAAAGCAAGCAACTTTTAACTCAACCAAAGGATTATGAGGTTAAAACTAGTTGGTGGATTGCAATCTCATGCCCTAGTTTGAAACAGGTATTTTATTCCCCCGCTGCCTTTAGGTTCTAATAAGCATGCCTAAGACTGGTGTGTGCCACACTGCTAAGGAAATCTAATCCTACTTATATTTGCACAGAGGCAAGTCCCACCGATTCCAGGGAGGCTTACTTCCAGGTGAGTGTGTCTAAGGTTGCTGCCTTAGATTAAACTACAAAGTCACTGATATGAACGACAAATGCTCTCAGCCCCACCACTTTAAAAGACGATACTCACCTTGGAAGTGCAGTTCAGCGGCACAAAATACTATCTCCTTGCTTATTAACAGCACCCGCCTGCACAAGAACAAAACAAGAGTTGAACATTACAGCAAATGCAAATACCAAGTTTAATCATAAACAGCCCTCTTTCCCTGGCAGTCTGGTTGCAAGACAATTTCAAACAGAGACAGAGGGAGCTGCGAGAATTTGTCAGCCTCCGAGGGCTGTTCTCTGTAGATCCCCACCCAGGCCAGCAGTTAGCGACAGGTTGAAAGCTGCCACGGGTGACAACCTTTTGCTTCGTAGACCCCAACAGGGACAGCCAACTGCAGCTGAGGGTTTATGTTCTTTCCCAGTGCAACACAACCGAGCAAGGGCACCCCTCCTAAAACCCACAGATTTGTGAGGCTGCAGTCCAAAGCTCTGGCACATGACACATTTTTTCTGGGAGTGTATTTTTGATGTCTGGGAATAATGGATTGTGAAGAAGACTAGTGCTGTTCCAAAACTACGTCCTCTCTGGTCCTTCACTCAACAATTGTTTATTTAGAGTATGCTTATATTCCTTCTCACAGTCCTTCTAGTCCTAAGCATACTGACTCCAATCCTGCAAGCCACAAATACCATAACTAGCACATGTTGATGGGATGAGTATCTCCATTTGCTTCCAGCAATATATCCAGTCAGTTCTAAAGAGCCCAATTATATAATGAACTTCCAGGTGTTGATGGGCATTGTATTATAGCTATGTAAAGGAAAAGAGTATTTGCGGGGTTAGTTAGATCAGGACAACTCTAGATGAAGTAACACCCATTAGAATCAACCAGAAGTTACCTCTACATACAGCTTATATATTAGCTCCGTTACATATCAATGAACCGTGCTCTACACACGCAAATCTATACTACTGGATGTTATGTACAGTTCCTGAATGACAATGGCTGGCAACGGATAGTCTGGGTATGTGCACAATTCAATAAGCGTGTGCAACTATCTTATTTGTTATTAAGAGTGGGCAGGTATATACCTATATTCACAGCCCCGCAGAGACCTATGCCATTCCAATCTGCTATGTAATTTAAAAGCAATACCAATATACTGGCTTGCAATTCACAGCCTAATTAACCTGTATTTTTTCTCTGAAGACTTTCTGTCCTCAGAGATTAAAGGGACCAGCTGAAATGATTCCACCCAAAGCTGGTGGTTAGGTGTCCTACAAAACAGAGTTGGCTATGGTCCCACTGGCAAGATCTGGTTGGGTGTAATCATCACGATTCGTAAGCGGACACGGAGATCCAGGTTCAAATCCTCCTTCAGCCATGGAGGCTTCTTACGGAACCTGCTATCGCTCAGCCAACCTACCCTGGGATTGCTGTTGTGGGAAAAGCTGAAGGGAATATTGGCCTCCTTGGGCTCCTGGGGGAAAGGCGAGAAACGATTTCTTAAATAGGTAAGCAAATGCAAAGGAAGCGGGGAGTAATGGGGTAGAGAGCCAGATTAGGAACACTCTGGTTTCACGGGGTTGTGGATCGCGCGTCTAATCGCCCTTAGGATGGGGCTAAGATTCCTGGCACGAAGCGCGACAGGTTGGGGCTCTCTTTTGCCCCAGCGCGCGCAAGGGTGGGAGGGGTCGGTCAGAAGAGGAGCAGGCGCCGCTCCTTCTCGGGGGCCGCCCTCGAGGAAAACGCCACCGTCCCACCTCTGGGTGAGCGGAGCGTGTGCGCGCGTCTGGTCGCCGCAGACGCCTCCCCTCCCTCCCCCCCCCCCCCGGCCCCCGCCGCCGCCGCCGTTGCACCCGGCAAGTTACCCTGGAGGGCCTCCCCGGACCCCGCTCACGGCGCTCAACACCGACCCGGTAAGAGGGGCCGGGCCGCTCACAGCGGCGACCGTGGG